GCCCGGGATCCCCAGGATCCTGGTGGTGAAAGAGAGGGAAAACCTGTCGGTCGCACACAGTGTTCACTAGAGAGAACTTCTCGGAGTTCAGGCGCAGAGCCGTCTTGCCGAAGATTCCCACCACGCAGATCTCATCTTCCCTCCACGGAGGCTCCGGCACGCCAGCCGCGTTCCCTCCGCCTTCAGCGGGGGGACCTCCGGGACTCTCAGAGCCCAGCCAGGCCGACGCTCCCATGAGAAGTTCTCGCAAGCTGACCGGCCCCGCCATGACGGAGAATGGGCTTCCTCCACCGTCCTTCCGGTCCCTCGCTAATCCCATCCAACCAGGTCCTACCGTGAAATACTTCCGCACGTCAATCCCTGCATTTCTCTCACTTTAGTTCCGGTGTCGTGTTCCGTGCCTTGTATCACTGCGTCCGTCCCCTGTAGTCGTCGCCTCCCCACCCCACCCCCGCCCCGCCTTTTCTAGTGTTCTGCCAAGATCTTTCTTAACCCTACATTTGCTCAATTCGAGAATATAGGGATCGAGATGTCAAAAACTAGATTGGATGCATTTTGCATTTTAATACGTCAAAAAAAAAATTCCAACAGCTTAGATTTTCTAACAGCTCAGCGGGGGGTGGTTGCTTATACTCTCACTGTCTCTTGAAACTGAGGCATGAGGATTCCTTTTTGTTTGTTTTTCGAGACTGTTTCTCTGTGTTGCCCTAGAATTCACTTTGTTAACCAGGCTGCACCACCGCGCAGCACTTTTTGTTTTTAAATTGGTTTTTCGAGAGTCTCTCCGTGTAACCTTGGCTGTACTGGACCTGTCTCTGTAGACCGGGGTGTAGGCCTCGAATTTAGAAATTCCCCAGCCTCTGCCTCACAAGTAGTGGGATTAAAGGCTTGAGACACCAGCAGGAAAGAGAGGGAAGGAGGGAGGAAGGGGAAGTGGAGGAAGAATGGGGGAGAAAGGGAGGAGAGAGGGGTAGGGAAGGAGGGGAGGTCCAAGCATATTGTCACATTCCTGTAATCCCAACGTTCAAAATGACGAGGCAGGAGGAGTTCAAGTAATGCATCAGTAATTGAGATCACTTCTCTGGCAGAGAGGAGCTCTCATCTTGCAGCACCCATGGCTGGAAACTTCTGGAGAATTTGATGCCTCTGGCATTCCAGAGTATTTGTACTAAGGACCAGGTACTTTCAGTCACAAGGGAAAACACAGAGATCCCCCTGACTCTGCCACCCCAGTGCTGGGATTAAAGGCATGCATTACCACGCTCATTTTCTTAAAAAAAAAAAAAGAAACAACTTTTATTTATTATTATTGTGTATGTGTACATGATGTTGAAACAGAATTTCTCTGTGTAGCCCTGGCTGTCTTGGAATTCACTGCGTAGGCCTTGCTGACCTTGATCTCAGAGAGATTGGCCAGCCTGTTTCCCCAGTGCTGTCATTAAAAGTGTGTGCCACCACTACTGGGGTCAAAAATATTTCTTTCTTTTTTTTTTTTTAAAGTTTAAAATGTGGTGTGGAAGTGCACGCCTAGCAGGTGAATCTTTGTGAATAAGGCGCTCCAAGTCAGTCAAGAATACATAGAGATACCCAGTCCTAAAACAAGCAAGACAAGATAAATACTAGAAGCTCATGAGAAGCAGTAGTTTAATGTAAGTATACTATGTGCAGAGTGGTTACAATGAAAAGCATATAAACTCTAAAGTAAAAATTAGTAAACAATTTAAGTAGGACACATTTTAATACTGATACAACAACAATAGCAGCTTTGTAAATATTTTACCTATACAATTTCTATTTTTTGAGACAGGATCTCACTAAGTTGCCCAGGTTGACTCCTGGCCTTGAACTTACATTTCCCTCCACCGCAGTCTTCCAAGTAGCTAGGATAACTGTCAGAAGCCACCATGTCCAGCCTAGCTATTTTATTTTTATTAAATGAACCTTCTATGCCATAAGAATTATTAAGTTATTTCAGTTACACTGGTACAGTGTATATTGGTTTATTAATGTTGTAAACATTATAAGTACCTCACAAAATACCATTTTATTATGAATTCTTTATTTTCAGTGATCATTTCCCTTATTTTTACATAATACCAAACTTAGCTAACAGGTTTTCAAAACAGCTCTGCTGGACTTGGTGGTACTGTCTTAATCCCAGCATTCAAGTGGAGGAAAGATCAGAAGTTCAAGGTCATCCCCTGCTAAATAGTTCTGGAGCAGAACAGGCTATATGAAAACCTGGCTCAACAAACCACAAACAACCGTCTAGCTGGTTCTAGTTATAATATTTTTGTATTATAAAAATAAATATGGATCTCATAAATAGGACTGCTTCAAGGTGTGTTCCAGTCTGGTGACTTTCTGACAGCATGATCTGACTTCTCAGAGTAATGTCATTCAATGGAAATACAGAGTATTCTCAGAGTAATGTCATTCAATGGAAATACAGAGTATTCTCAGAGTAATGTCATTCAATGGAAATACAGAGATTTGACAATGGAGCTATTGTTGGGTTTCTTACCTAATGTGCAATCCTTAGAACCAAAAAAACTTAAACAAAACCCTCCAGAAATATTTAGGGGACTGCTAAATTACCTTTAGAGGTGCAGTGAACTGGAAGACTAAAATGTGAAGGCTGTTATCTCTGTGGCTCTTCCTATCAGACTAGAAAGTTGGGTGATCATCTGAAGTCTTTGGGGTTTTGTTTTTAATGGATAAGGGGGCCATTGCCTTTATTCTTGGAAGCGTAGGGGTGAATAACAGTCATGAGAAGTGACCCTGGAACTGATGGTATGGCTCAGCGGTGGAAGCACTTCCCTAGCATGCTCTAAGCCCTGAGAGCCCTCTGCCCTGGAGAAAAAGACAGCTACTTCTGCATCCCCGAGTCACACTCACATTATGGGAATTACCCATCTATTCTGCTTAGAATGGAATGTGATAGGATACTGGCTGACGCGATACAGTGGTCACTGCCAAGAAGATATGTGTAGTAAACTGTGGGATCCCAGAAATAGACTGCAACTTTCGGGGGTGGACAAATAAGGTAACTAAGTAAAAATAGGTTCTCAGTTAAATGTGAATTTCAGACAAACAATAACACATAAATACGTACAGATGATTATCTGTTAGTTACTCTTCTAGTTGTTGTGATGAAATACATGCCTGTCTCAATCTAGGAAGGAAGGGTTTGTTTGGCTTACAGCTCTACCATACACTCCACCTGGAGGGAGGGGATCAAGACAGCAGGAGCCTGAAGCAGCTGGTCACATTGCATCCCTGCTTAGGGGATGGTGCCACCCACAGAGGGTAGGTCATCCACCTCAATTAACCTAATCCAGATAATGTCTGAGAAAACCCATCTCCCAGGTGATTACAGATAATAGGGAATAGACAACTGAGATTAGCCATTATATGTGTGTGTGTGTGCGTGTGTATTAGTAATGGGGATTGAACCCAGGGCTATGAACCTTCTAGACAAGTACTATATTCCCTGCAAAGACCTAAATGCATTTTTTAAAAAATGTAATTGCTCCTCATTCAATATTAAGGAGATATTTCTACTAGCTCAGCATGTACACGGCCTTGAGTTTGATCTGTAATGTTCAAATATTTGTTGTTTAGTAGGACATTTATACTTAAAGCTTATTTGTGGTTTATCTATAATTCAAATTTAATTGAGTATCTTATATTCTTATTTGCTAAATGTGACACTCTAGACTGGCAAGAATGAATGAAGACCAGTGAGAGACACATCATTATTGTTAGGGAATACCCAGACTGGTAAGGACCAGGCAGTGAGCTTCTTGGTAAAACTGCCATGGACCACAGAGAATCCTTGGCAAGGCATTCTGGTAAACAGAAGTTTCATGCTGAAATCGCCGTGGACCACAGAGAATCCTTGGCAAGGCATTCTGGTAAACAGAAGTTTCATGCTGAAATCAAGAAAAATTTATTTGACTACAGGAAAATGGACAGTAGATATAAAAAGTAGAGAATACAAGGCTGAGGATATAGCTCAGGGAACGTGCACTTAGCATGTTGTGAGGCCCTGGGTTCAGCCTCAAAAAGAAGAAGAAGAAGAAAAAAGGTGTCTCAGTGAGCCATATGAAACCAACTACCTAAGGGGCCATGTCATTTTAGCAATGTGTCATTACCTTCTAGCCAGATATGGTAGCTCACCCCTGTAATTCCGGCATTTGGGAGATTGAGAACCAAGGATTTCCATGAGTTCCAGGCCATCCTGGGCTATAATTTAAGACTTCCATTTCAAGCAAACACAGGGTCTTTTCAAATTTTTCAAGTCACATTGAATTGTTTTCTTTTTTCTTTTTCCTCTAAATTACTTGTTTATTTACTTTAAGACAGGGTCTCACTGTATAGTTCTGACTGTTCTGAAACTAATATATAGACCAGACTGTCCTCAAACTCCCAGAGAACTTCAGGCTTCTGTCTTCTAGGTGCTGGGATTGAAAGCAGGTGTCACTATGCCCAAGTAGAGGGTCTTATTTTATGAATCAAGTTTGTAGCAATGAATGAATTAGCCTTAGATGAGCGGGAACCAGGTTATGTTCTTTATATTCTTAGTTACGTGTCTGTGTGCCTATGTACATGTGAGTGCAGGTGCCAGTCTGGCCCAGAAGAAGGCAGTGAGTCGCTTGGCTCTGGAGCTACAGGCATCTGGAAGCCACTTCAATTGAGTGCTGGGACCTGAACTTGGGTCCTCTGCAAAAGCTGGAGTGCTCTTAACTGCTGAGCCATTTTCTCTAATACTCAGACTATTTTCTTTTTTTTTTTTTTTAAATATTTTTATGGTTTATTTAACTTTATTTTATGTGCATTGGTGTGAAGTGTCAGATCCCCTGGAACTGATCTTCAGACAGTTGTGAGCTGCCATGTGGGTGCTGGGAATTGAACCCGGGTCCTCTGGAAGAGCAGTCTGTGCTCTTAACCACTGAGCCATCTCTCCAGCCCCTCAGACTATTTTCTTAATGTCAGAACTATATTTATATAATAAACTAGTTATACCATTAATACTATTTTTAACAAGTTTATTAACTTGGTGTGTTGAAGGAAGCACATATCATAGCGTCTATGTGGAGATCAGAGGACCTCTGTGAGAGTTCTTTCTTCCCGCCATCTGGGCCCTTGGTAAGTGCCTTTGCCTATTAAACCGTGTTGCCAGCCCCTATGAAATGAAATCTGAACAACGACTCTAACCTAAATTGGCTAATTCCAGGGTAAACATTACTTTGCAGATTACTATCATAATCATCAGAATATATCTAAATTCTCTCTTTATGTCACAATGTGTGTATGTTACATACATACTCACTCTGATTCTTCAAGTAGAATTACATTCATAGAGCTATACATATTTTAGTACATTAAAATTTAGGGGGTTTGATCTGTCATCGTGTCGATTCCTCCTTGGAGTCAGGCAGAGCTGGCCTCAGTTCTGTTCATCGAAGCTGCTTGTATGAAGTGGTAGAGACTGAGTTGGGCTTTTAGGGTGAGCCAGCTATATAAAAGAAAGTCACAGTTATAACATGAGTGATGTTCCTATGACCAACACAGGTCTTCTTCCTTTAATAAAGCCTTGATGCCTTTTGCAAGGTAGTATTAGCATTCCTAGCTACCTTCCCCAGCTTTCCTGATACAAACAGAAACTAACAAGCCTTTTGTACATGCTTTTTCCCTTTGCCCGAGACGTAAATATACGTCTACAGGAAGAAATGCCATTGTGCACCGTGAGGACAAAAACATGCATCAAGGATGGAAGTGATGAGGAAATGGTAGCTCATGCCTAGAATCCCAACACTTGAAAGCCTGAGGCTGGACTGCTACAAGTTTGTGACCAGCCTGGGATACATAGTGAGAATCTGCCTCAAAATCAAAACCAACCAAACAATAACAACAAAACTAAACAAAGGTAAAAGACTAAAGAGCAGGAAGGACACGATGAAACTGCTGCACTAACTGTGGACTTCCTGTTTCCCAAAGGAATGTTCAGGTGAGAAATATGGATTGCAGCTGGGGTGGTAGCTCATGCCTTTAATCGCAGACAGGAGTTTAAGGCCAGCCTGATCTAGGTAGCAAGTTCCAAGTTAGTTAGAGTTACAAGGTAAGACCCTGTCTAAAAAACAAACAAACAAAAAAAAATGAAAATGAATTCCGGCAGTTGGAGACTTAGCTCTGCTGAGAGCTGTTATCATTTATTACAGGAGGTAGCAATTAATATTCAAGGTGTCAATTCACCAGAAATAACTTCTGATGGAGGAACCTCATCTTGCAAGGCCTGCAAGAAATACAGACTCGCCGGGCGATGGTGGTGCACGCCTTTAATCCCAGCACTAGGGAGGCAGAGACAGGCGGATCTCTGTGAGTTTGAGACCAGCCTGGTCTACAGAGCTAGTTCCAGGACAGGCTCCAAAGCCACAGAGAAACCCTGTCTCGAAAAACCAGAAAAAAAAAAAAAAAAAGAAATACAGACTCTAGAATATCTTTTGCTTCTGTCTGTAATTTTGCATGTACTCAACTGCATTCTTTCCCTAGGGGCTACAGGGAATTCCCCACAGTCTGTATCTAATGTGTGTGTATCTCATGAATACAATTCCAATCTACTGGACATTTTTATCTGTGGATTGTTAAGAAGGTGGCTCCTCCTTATGCATATTGTCTAATTAATATTAATAATGTTAGCCTAATCAGAGTTTTAATTAATAAAACAAATACAAAAAGATGCTACCCAAGTCAGGGCTTATAAGTTTCCATTAAGACCTATCTGGAACAAAGTTTAAGAAAACAGCTGTAGGGGCTGGAGAGATGGCTCAGCAGTTAGGAGCATTGCCTACTCTTCCAAAGGTCCTGAGTTCAATTCCCAGCTACCACATGGTGGCTCACAACCATTTGTAATGAGGTCTGGTACCCTCTTCTGGCCTGCAGGCATACATGAAGACAGAATATTGTATACATAATAAATAAATATTTAAAAAAAAAGAAAGAAAACAGTTGTATTTTCCCTAGCTGCCAAGATAGCTGTATACTATCAACAGATATAAAACTTCAAAGTAGCTTTAGATTAGACCAGGTGCCTTGCTAATGGGTTTTAAGATAAACTATTCACAGAAAAATACAATCTTATTTACAAGGATACATAGCCAGCTGTCTGATTTGTTGTGTCAAAGCAACTCAATTGTGGGGCCAGAGCACAGTGATTAACTCTCTGGACAAATTCTTGCCTCAGTTTTAGTGGCTTTTGTTCAGTTGCCGCAGGAAAAAGATTCCCTAACTGGCCAGGGCTACAAAATATAAATTAACTTCGTAGCCTTGAGAAAGAGTTACAAGTCTCCCTTTTACGGCCAAGGGTTACATGGAGAACAGAAAAAATATATTTCCAGATTTAAAATGCTTTTAATGTCACTGTGCCTTGGAGAGGGCCTCTGCCCCCGCCCTGCAGCTCCACAGGCCTCTGCCCAACTCAGCATTTCACTCTCTCTGACTACACACTGCTCTTTGTAAACAATCTCCAGTTCAAGAAAGCCCAGCCTTTTACGATTGCTAATCACAAAATGTTAGTTTAAAATGTTTATACACTTGGAAGTGTAGGATGTAGCACACAATTTCCTCACTCCCCTTAGAATCCTCAGTAGTTTAGTTTTTTTTTTTGTTTGTTTGTTTTTTGTTTTTTCGAGACAGGGTTTCTCTGTGATTTTGGAGCCTGTCCTGGAACTAGTAGCTCTTGTAGACCAGGCTGGTCTCGAACTCACAGAGATCCGCCTGCCTCTGCCTCCCAAGTGCTGGGATTAAAGGCGTGTGCAACCACCGCCTGGCTAGTAGTTTAGTTTTATAAGACACCTCTGTAGATAACAAAAAGACCTCTCTCTCCTTTTGCAGCTGTGTGTTGTTGCCCACTGATTAGGGAGGGAGCTGACAGAGAGAAAGTGCTTCTTCCTTGCTCTGTGACAGTTTAATCTGGATTTATTGCTCTGTGAGCTGTTGGAAGGACTCTGTTATCATTTTCTTAGAAATGTAATGTGACCTTAAAAGGCAATGCCTGAAAGATTTTGTAGGTATTTAAGCTGTGAGAACAAAGGAGCATCGTGAGAGAATAAAGAAGGAATCCATCAGAACAGGTGTCAGCGTGCATTTTTCCTTAGTTTCGCCATGCTGTGGACCTTTTCTTTCGAGCTTTGCTTGTAGCCCAGAAGCTGGTTCTTTTGGGCTGCGATATAGTTCAAAGTAGAGTGCTTGCTGAGTAATTTTAAGGTCCTAGGTCTGGTCCTTAGCTTAGAAAAATAAAAATAAGAAGACAAACAAGAAAAATGAGTTCATTGTAGGTAACCTTAGTTACACGGCTACTTGAGACTGGGGGGTGGGGGGCAGAATATTTATATAAAAATAAGTATTTTTTCTTTTTTGTTTTTCTAGACAGGGTTTCTCTGGATAGCCTCAACTGTTCTGGAACTCACTCTGTAGACCAGGCTGGACTTGAACTCATCAAGATCCACCTGCCTCTGCCTCCTGAGCACTGGGATTAAAAACATGAGCCACCACCACCTGGCTCTATCTTTTATATATATAAATGAATTGATATTTTGGTTAAGCCCTCTGTGGTCAAGTTCCTGTCACCTGTGCCTGGGTGCAAACTCTAGGCAGACGTGCTTTTCAGTTAATGGAAGCATAAGGGCTGGGTGGGGAAAGCCACTCTTTAGCAATCTTACTGGAGACCTTCCTCAGTGCACTTTTGGTAATATAACATACGGCAAAATTTCATCTGTGATTTTTGCTATTGCACAACATGTGATTTTATTATTATTATTATATTTTCGTCTGTTTCCATGGTTCCTGGTATACCATACTAGCTATTGTGTGGGTCAAGGATAGCAAGGGTTTTTGCGCTAACAGAGAAAGGAAGTGGCTAAGGTCTTCCCTTTATCTTAGGAGTCCGTGGTGCTTCTGCCCCACAGGAAGAAGGAACTACAGTGTTCAAAGCCACAAAGGCCAGCAATCAAGACCCAGCATTCCAGCAGCGGAGGCAGGAGATGGCTTTTCTTCTGAACCAGTAATACAGGATATCAGAAAGACTAAGACAAACAGGTGGGAAAAGAGGAGATGGAGGCCAGTCGCCCTCCTTGCTTTCCGTGGGGCTCATCAAGCAACTGATGATGGAGAAAGCTGTCCAACCTTTCCCTGAACAGTGCACAGCGCAGCCAGACTTCTCTCTCCACCCTGCCTAGCACCTGTCAGGCCTGGTTTAGAGACGGCCACGTTGTCACTTTTCAGATTGATGTATAGGCCATTATACCAGGCAGGATGGGACACTGCTATTCTCCTGTGGCTTAGATCTTTCTCCTCTCTGACATTTATGGTAGGATAATCCTTTCCTTCTTCATTCCTATTCATTCTTTAATTGTCTCTGCCTGAATCATTACCTATGGAAATCTCCCAGGCTAGACCGTCTTGGCTAGGTCATTTCCTGTTTTGGGTTTCCACACAACCTTGTTCCTTTCCTTAACAGCACTTACTATGGGATGAGACAAGAAGGGATTATTTGGTTCACTGGACTGAAAGGTTCAGGGCAGCAGATCTGTGGAGGCCTTTTCTACACTCTAATCCTGGTACTTACTTTAGCATGGACCTCACCATACAGGAAGTACTTGATAAATTCTCAGCAAAGGGAATTAAACCATCAGACACTCATTAACAAAGGGGAAACGATAATCTTAGCTGTATAGCAAAAATAGTTTTTCTTCACAGAATTTTTGTTGTTGTTGGTTTTTTTTTTGTTGTTGTTGTTTTTTGAGACAGGTTTTCTCTGTAGCTTTGGAGCCTGTCCTGGAACTAGCTTTTGTAGACCAGGCTGGCCTCAAACTCATAGAGATCCACCTGCCTCTGCCTCCTGAGGGCTGGGACTAAAGGTGTGTGCCACCACCGCCCGGCTTTTCTTCACAGAATTTTATAATACCAAATAGTTAAAGCATTTTGGAAAGCATACAGAATGAAAAATGACCATTCTTTGATTCGTTTGTTTGCATTTGCAGCATTAGAAGCTGAACCCAGGGTGTCCCACGTGCTAGGTGAGGGCTCTGCCACTGGGTTACACATCTAGCCTCTTTTTGTTTCTTCTTCTTCTTCTTCTTCTTCTTCTTCTTCTTCTTCTTCTTCTTCTTCTTCTTCTTCCTCCCCCTCCTCCTCTTCTTCCTTTTTCTCCCCCCTCCTCCTCCTTCTTCTTTACTTTTTTCCCCCCAAGTCAGGGTTTCTCCATGTAGCCCTGGCTGTCCTGGAACTCACTCTGTAGACTAGGCTGGCCTTGAACTCAGAGATCTGCCTGTCCCTGCCTCCCAAGTGCTGGGATTGAAGGTTCTATTCACCTGGTGAACAGTACGCATTCTTAACCACTGAGCCGCTATGATATTAATTAATTACTACAAGAGCTACTTTAGGTAGTGGGACATGCCCATTATCCTTCAACTAGGGAAGTTGAGTCAGGTCAGTCTGGTGGCTACATAGTGAGACCCTCTTTCAAAATATATAAATAAATAGACTGTGCTTCTAAATAAATAAGCTTATCCTCCCTCCCTCCCTCCCTCCCTCCCTCCCTCCCTCCCTCCCTCTTGTCCTCTCTCCCTCCTCCTTCCAGACTAAGCCAAGCCCCCATGCATGCTGGGCTATACTCTCAGCACTCACATAAATTACTGTTCAGGAAAACAAACCAGAGGACTTAGTTGGAATTTTAGCTTTCACAGACTCACCTGGAACTTTCTCCTTAAGGCCTGAGTCATGACTGGAGTCAGTCCAGTTCCTGTTTCCATATTTTCTTTATTGGTAAGAGGGGTCCCACCTGGGCTCCTGGAAAAGCGTGAAAAATATCAGAGCTGTGCTTTATCCCTGCTTTTCTTTTTTTTAATCTTTCTTATTTATTTATTTGTTTGTTTGTTTATTTATTTATTTATTATGTATACCGTGTTCTGGCATGTTTGCTTACGTGCCAGAAGAGGGCACCAAAAGTAATTATAGATGCTTGTGAGCCACCAAGTGCATGCTGGGAATTGAACTCAGGACCTCTGGAAGAACAGGCAGTGCTCTTAACCTCTGAGCCAGCCTCTCCCCAGCTCTATCCCCACTTTTCAAACTGTCTTAGAAAACACAAGGATAAGAGACTTACCTGTCCACATCGACTTTCCTCAGCAGTTTCCGCAGATCTATTTGGCTTTTACCGGGAGTACTGAGAATAAAGACATAAAAATTAAAACTTTCCAGATTTCACCACTTTTCCAAAAACAGGTCAGTTTTATAGGCAAGCTCCTAGAAAGTAGTTCTTTCTGTCACATTAAAAAAAAAAAAAATAGAGCTGTGGCCAGGGAGTGGTGGTTCAAACCTTTACTCCCAACACTCGGGAGGCAGACGCAGGCGGATCTCTGTGAGTGCGAGCCAGTCTGGTTTATAGAGAGAGTTTCCAGGACAGCTAGGGCTGTTACACAGAGAAACCTTGTCTGGGGGAAAAAATCGAAGGACAAAAAGAACTGGATTCGTCCACCATGCAGGAAATACATGGCAGAGGGCGCATAGGGATCTGGTTACACTGTACCCATAATCAGGAGCCAGAGAGAGGTTAATGAAATCTAAAAACAAAGTGTGTGTGTGTGTGTGTGTGTGTGTGTGCACGCTCGCACACGCGCCTGTGTGTCTTCATGCCAGAGTTCACATGTGAAGGCCAGAGAATAATTTAGATTTGGTTTTCTCTATGCACCTCATGGGTCCCAGGGATTGAACTCAGGTCTTTAGGCTTGGCAGCAAACACCTTTACCTGTTGAGCCATCTCGCCAGTCCTGAAACTGGAAGTTTGAAAACTGACTGTTTAAACAGGGTATCATGTAGTTCTGGCTGGCCTTGAGCTCACTATTGTAGCTGATGACAACTTTGAACTCCTGATCTTCCTGTCTCCACTTCCTGAGTGTTGGGATTATAGGTATGTACCATCACACGTGGCTAAAAAAATTCTTGTTAATACTTTATTTTTGCCTCAAATTTGTTAGTAAGTCAGTGATACATCATATAATAGACTGCCTCTTGGGGGAGGCAATAAAGTATGAATGCTCAGAAAAAAAGACTAGAATTATAAAAATTAAACAAAAAACAATAATAAAAAATCATCCAATATGTTACCAGCAGCTGCCTCTAACGACAGGACAAACTTAGGTTGGGAGTTGAATGAATTACATGTGAGTTTTATTTTTTTCTTGAATTTTTCTGTAAGTTTCAATTTTTTCTACAGTGAGCATATGTAATTTTAAAAGTTAAAAGTGCAGCAGGGTGTAGTGGCATATGCTTTCAACCACAGGGCTTGGGAAGTGGAGTCAGGCAGATCTCTGTGAGTCTGAGGCCAGTCTGGTCAAAATATCAAGTTTCAGGACAAGCAGGGGCTTCATAGAGAAATCTTGTCTTGAGACAAACAAACAACACTAAACAAAATTTTAACATGGCCCCAGAAGGGGCCAGTGAGCTGTTTCAGTGAGTAGAGCCCCTTGCTGCCTAAGCCTGACGGCCAATATCTGGTCCCCAAGAACCATGTAAGGGTGAAAGGCGAGAGCAACTCCACAATATTGTCTTCTGACCTCCATACAAGGGCAGTGGCATGTGTACATGTTCCCCAACCCAACATACACATACAACAATAATAAATTACATTTAACTCTTAAAAAGAAAAAGAAAAAAAAAGAAGCAAAAGAAAAATCAGCATTTTAAGTAGCAATGGAGCATAATAACGTGCAATTCCTTACATTAGGACATTTTTAACGCGTGTTGCTAACACCCTGGAGTTGGGCTTCAGAGTAATATGCTGCAGATCAGAGACAGTAACTAGTGGATTCCGTTGCTCTGGTGGCGATGGTACAAGCTTTAATTACAAAATGAGACATTAAATATACATATTCAAATATCATTCTAATGTAAACACACCAAAACAGCAAATGTTTGACTACCAGAGTGTACATTTTCCATGATTCCATTCTTTATTTCAAAGGTCAAGGGTGCTCTCGCACACTACCCCCTCTCTCTCTTGGCTTTACTAGACAGGATCCTGTTGGTTAGACCAGGCGGGCATGGAATTCTTTACTGTGTAGCCTTGAATTCAAAAGAAATCCTCCTGCCTCCATCTAAGTGCTAAGATTAAAGGAAGGAGGCACCACACCTATCTAGTGTGTTTCTATCTTTAGTATGTCTCTCCGACTGGCTTCTTGACCCCCTATGTATCCAAGCAGGACTCTGAACTCCTGATTCTTTGCCACTACCTCCTATGTGTTAGGATGATTAGTGTGCACCATTGTGTCCATCTTAAATGGATTGGGTCCATACACCCATCCATTGTGTATGGGTGTATATGATGCAAGTGTGTTATCCACGGTTTTGTGTATGTGTGTGTGAGTATGTGCATAGAGGTCAGGGGTCAATGCCAGGCATCTGCATTATCACTCACTCTCATTTTGAGACAGGGTCTTTCACTGAGCCTGGAGCTGACAGACTGGCTAGACCTGCTAGCCAGTGAGTGCTGTTTAACTGGGATGACTGTCTCCACCTCTCCAGTGTTAGGAGCATATGTGGGGCTGCTTTTTAAAAACATGGGTCTTGGGGATCTGAACTCAGGCCCTCATGCTTATGTGGTAAGCACTTTACCAACTGTGCCATCTCTCCAGCCTATTTATTTTTATTTTTTTAGTACTGGAGATTGAGCCTAAGGCCTCATAAATATTAGGCAAATGCTCTGTCATTGAATGTATACTCAGCCTCAAAAGAAGTCTGACTTCAATACACAGGTTTACTATATTTTCCCAAAGGAACAATCAGGTTAAAAAAGATGGAAGGCATGACACTGTGTTTCTTGTGAGGGTTAGGTATGAGGTATTCAAGGATTTGAAGCTGGCCCGGGTTAAGTAGCAAGAAAAACACACCTGTGAACTTGGGAGATAGCTTAGTTGGTAGAGTGTTTACAGTGTTAATCCCAGCACTTGGGAGGCAGAAGCAGGTGGATCTCTGAGTTTGAGACCAATCTGGTTTATTTATTTATTTTTTTTAAAGGGTAAGTCCCAGGACAGCCAGGAGGCCTTGCCTCTAAAATAAAAATAAATAAATAAATAAATAAATAAATAAATAAATGTAAAGTGGAAAGTAATAGAGAAAGACACCCTGTATTACCTCTGGTCTCCACACACGTACCCACAAACACACAAATATAACACACACACACCCATCCCAAAGGAAGAAGGCCTTGCATGTGCAGTGTCCTCTTACCTTCTTTCTTTCTTCAATACTCTGTGTCTTTTTCAATTTTACAGTGAGTAGATCTTTAACTGTTATATGCATGGGTCCATCTTTCTTTAACGGTTCAGTCTTAAAATACACGAAGAGGTTTGAATTAAAATTGGCATCAGGACATCTAGTGAAACCCAAATCCAAGTTTACTTTGTAAAGATTCAGAGTTGAAAGTTAAGTCATTATTGTTATTTATTTATTTATTCATAATTTTTGCTTTTCCCCTTTATTATTTTTGAGACAGGATATTGCTATGTAGTCTTGGCTGTCTTAGTATTCCATATCTAGCTTAAACCGGCCTTAAACTCCTGGCAGTCCTTTTGTCTCAGCTTCCAGATGCTGGGGTTATAGGAACATACCACCATACTCTTCTAAAGCTAACTCTTTTTTTTTTTTTAAAGATTTATTTATTTATTATGTATACAACATTCCTGCAATGTATGTTTGTATGCCAGAAGAGGGCACCAGATCTCATTATAGATGGTTGTGAGCCACCATGTGGTTGCTGGGAATTGAACTCAGGACCTCTGGAAGAGCAATCAGTGCTCTTAGCCTCTGAGCCATCTCTCCAGCCCCCTAAAGCTAACTCTTATTTACCCTAGGGATTAAACACATTCTATGCGAGCAAGCAAGAATGACAGGGGTATGAGAGGGTGATGGTGTAGGTGTGGGTGGGTGGGGTGGTGCCAGAGAACCTTAAAATTTTTTATTTGGAGCTGGAGAGATGACTCAGTGGTTAAGAGTACTTACAGAGGACCTGAGTTCTGTTCCCAGCACCCATGATTCACAACTACCTATAACTCCAGTTCCAGGGAATCCAACACCTTCTGAGTTTTTCAGGCATGTACATGGTACACAGTCATATAAGCAAGCAAAATACCTATTCACATAAGATAACATAATTTTAAAATTAAAAAAGTTTATATATTTTAATGTACAGTTGTATTTGGACTGCATGCATTTATGTATGGGCATGACATCCATGCCTCGTGCCTTTGGAGTCTATAAAAGGATGTCAGATCTCCTGGAACTAGAATGATAGATAGTTGAGTCTCACCATGTGGGTGCTAGGAACCAAACCCTAGTCCTCTGCAAGAGCAGTAAGTGATCTTAACGGCTGAGCCATCTCTCCAGCTCCTCTGCACCAGAATCTTCTTTGTGTGTTTGTTTTGAGACTGATCTCAAACTCCTAATATAGCCATTAGCTCAACTAATAACCAAGAATGACCTTGAACTTCAGATCCTTCTACTTTTACCTCCCCAGTGCTGGGATTAGATATATGTTCTAGCCTTGGAAATAAAGCTTTGAAAGCGTACAATAGCCGGGTGCTGGTGGCGCATGCCTTTAATCCCAGCACTTGGGAGACAGAGGCAGGCGGATCTCTGTGAGTTCGAGACCAGCCTGGTCTACAGAGCTAGTTCCAGGACAGGCTCCAAAGCCACAAAGAAACCCTGTCTCGAAACCCCCCCCCCAAAAACCCAAAAAACAAAAAAACCCCCCCAAACCGTACAATAATCGGAGCAAGGTATAGGTGTGTATGTATATTTTGTGGACTACAGTTCAAGCTTCTCAAAAGCTGAAGCAAAAGATCACAAGTTCGAAGCTAGTCTGTTCTACATAGCGAGGTCTCCGTCAGTCAGGCCTACAAATCAAGATCCAGTCTCAGAGAACAAATAAACAAAAACTTCCAACAACAAAAGCCTAAAACAAAACAAAGGAACAAGAAAACCCCAATAATTACATTACATTGGCAGACACCGGTAACGCCAGCTACTCGAAGGCTAAAGCCGAAGGATTTCTTGAGCCTAACAGTTCAAGACTAGCTTGGGCAACATAATGAGACTACATCTAAAAACAAAACCAAACTTCAACCCTCCTGCCCCCCAAAAATTCAACAAAAAACTTATAACTAAAATCAGAACAATTAACAAAATTAAGATATAGAATCAGCACAAAATACAGCCTTCATAACTAGGCCTTGGGCTCAGCCTTGAAAGGCTGTTTGTTTATTCCTGTATGGCAGTCTAACTAAAACACACTGTTCCTGACTGTTTCTTACCTGAAGTACTCCAGTAGTCCCAGTTCTTCTGCGCAGCAAAGGTGCTAGGGGTGGTGGAGGCGGAGGAAGAGGAGGGGGAGGAGGGGGTGGGGGAGGAGGAGGGGGCGGATGACTGGCTGGCTGTGGCAGTGTGGGCGGAGGTACAGTTTGGGATTCTCCAGGGGTTGTTGGAGCACAGGCAGGCACGTTTGTAGGTTTATCACTCACGCCACACGTATGACAACGGCTTGAATAAGAAGAATTTTCTGAGATGGTCTGGAAGATATCATATTTGACAAATGAACAATAGATTAATTTGGTGGTGTGTGTTTGGTTTTTTTCTCCTTCCTTCCTTCCCTCCCTCCCTCCCTCCCTCCCTCCCTCCCTCCTTCCTTCCTTCCTTCCTTCCCTTTTGTGACATTTCACACTCTGGCTCAGGCTGGCCTGGAATTCACTCAGAATGACCTAAAACTCAAGTTAAACTGTTTCCTCATCTGTGTGGGCATTAGGGTTACAGGAATCCATGATCACTCCTGACAACAACAAATTTACTTCAAAAATTCCATTGCTCATGGGGCTAGAGAGAAGTTTGGCGATTACAAGCTTTCAGCACTTACAGAGGACTGGGTTTCATTCCCAGAGGAAATGGGGCAGTTCACAACAGTCCAACTCCACTTCCAGGAGATTCGATGCCCTCTTCTGGCCACCCCAACCACACCCAGGCCTTGTTTTTTGTTCTTGTTTCCAGCAGTGAGGATCACACAACTGAAATGTGTGTGTGTGTATGTGTGTGTGTGTATAATAATTTGAATATATGTTCCTATATATAAGGACAAGCATCATGAATTTCAAGTAATGCCTGCCTTGGGAACAGACAGGGACTATCGGGAGAACTCTTTCCTGTTAACTTACATTTATCATGGTTACCCAAAAATAAAAGGATAACCTCATTCCTTCAAAAAAAGTTATCATGAGCTGGGTGGTGGTGTGCACGCCTTTAATCCCAGCACTAGGGAGGCAGAGGCAGGCAGATCTCTGTGAGTTTGAGACCAGCCTAGTCTACAAGAGCTAGTTCCAGGACAGGCTCCAAAGCTACAGAGAAACCCTGTCTCGAAAAATCAAAAAAAAAAAAAAAGTTATCATGAATATCTGTATCTCTATCTCATAAGGATATGTCCATTGACTTAATGAACTAGTTAGCTGATTAGCTATTTTGAGATGAGGATCTTGCTAATTAGCCAGGCTGGCCTTGAACTCCTAGGCTCAGGTAATCCTTTTTCTTCAGCTTCCCTAGTGGATGGGAATACGGGCACATATCCCCAGGCTCACCTGTAAAGTATCATATTATATGTTTTAAGCATACATGAAGCATCCTATAGAATTTGAACACTATCTCTTTCTATACCTCTATATTTAATTTATTTCATGCCATGTTCTTGTTTGGGTTTTTGAGACAGAGTCTCATTCTCTAGCTCAGCGTGGCCTGGGACTCACTGTGGAGTCTGCTGGGCAATTCTCATGCCTCAGCCATGAACTACCACACCTAAAGAAGAGTGTTGACACTGGCTGCAGGGGGATTCTTGGCCTCTCCTGCTTCTTTTGTTGCTTTTTGCCAGGCTAAGGATTGAATACAGGATACTGTGCATGTCAGACCAACAGACTGCCACTGAACTACACCCCAGGCTCATCAATGTTACATGTGCACCCTCATGGCATGTTAGATTTATTACTTGAAACTCTCTCTTCCCTCACACTGGGGGGGTACATGTGGCCACGGCAGGCAAACGCTTTACCATTGAACTATATCCCCAGCTAAAAGCAATTTTGTGACATAGGGTCTCAAGTATTCCAGGCTGGTCTTAAAGTCCCTGTGTTGTTGAGGATGACCTTACTTCTAATCCTTCAGCCTTGACCTCCTAAATGCTAAGATCAGAGGTGCATACCATCATGGCTGATTTATTTATATAGTACTGGGGCCTCCTGCATACTAGTTGAGCATCTACCAACTGAGCTGATGCCTAGCTATTTCTGCAGAAAACACAAGACTTTTTTTTTTTTGGTTTTTCGAGACAGGGTTTCTTTGTGGTTTTGGAGCCTGTCCTGGAACTAGCTCTTGTAGACCAGGCTGGTCTCGAACTCACAGAGATCCGCCTGCCTCTGCCTCCCGAGTGCTGGGATTAAAGGCGTGCGCCACCACCGCCCGGCTGAAAACACAAGACTTTTAAAAGATGTATTCATTTTATGTTTTGTGTGTGTGTGTGTGTGTGTGTGTGTGTGTGTGCCTGCTTGTCTGTATGTGCACTGTGTGTGTAAATGCCTGAAAAGGTCAGAAGAGGGCATTAGATTCCCTGGAATGAGAGTGATAGGCAGTTTTGAACCAACAAATGTGGGTGCTGGGAACCTGGGTTATCTTCAAGAGCAGCAAGTGCTTTTAACCACAGAGCCATGTCTCCATTCCCTCCAGCCCCAGTTGAAAAATTTGATAGCCATTTCGTTTGCTTCCCCACTGAAGTTTCATTAATTTATGTTCTTCTCAATAATGTAAAAGAAAGTGTCCCAATATTTTTAGCTTTTTTTCTTTTCCCAATTTAAGTTCAACGTTGCTCATTGAAATTCCTTTTCTACTTCTATTTTGTTTGTGTGGCTGAGATCATTAATTCTTCCTAATATACATTTAAAAAATTAGTTTTTGATTTTAATTACGTGATTGTGTGTTGTGTACATGTGCATACATAAGAACAGGTGCCTAATTAAGGCCAGAGGGGTTGCAGCTGTAAAATTCCTAGTGTAGGTGCTAGAACCCAAACTTGATTCCTTGCATGAGCAGTACACTCTCTTACCTGGGGAGCCACCTTTCCAGTGCCCCCTTTTGCCTTCTTCCTCCACTGAAGGAAGTCTTTCTGCCTGACATTTGAGAAAATCACCAAACTCAGATCCAGAGTCTTTTCCTATTGTAATAGTCTTTTCAGTTAAACTCTTTGGATTTGTTTGCTTAGCAACACCAACCTTCAGTGTTTCTTGGAGCTTGCATAAATCACTTTTCAAAACACAAAATTGTTGTTTTAGACTGTGAAGTTCTCTGTGGTAGACTCGGGAAGGGAAGATGGCATCTCTCAGTGCTTCTAAACTCTGAAATCCATAAAGAAACAAGCCTGAATCTAATGAGCAGCGTGATGAAGAAAGCGATGTCACAGAAGTTTATGTAAGCAAAGACAGGTGCAATCTCACAAATTAACCTTATTCAACATTAGCCTCAGGGATATGTCAAGCCGAGGAACCATACAAGAACATAAATACTAAATATGACAGAACAAAAACCAAAAAAAACATATAACTGAGGATGGGTTGATAAAACCTATACCTGGGCTACACAGGTCAGACAGTGATTGTATATGCACCACGCTCTATTCGTCCAAAGGTTTAGCACATCTTTGACATTGGGAAATCTGAAGCTCCAAGGTCGTCTTAGCCAGTTACTGCTTTGGGGTATATCTGTTGAAGAAGTAACCACTCTGTGGAAGAAACATTAAACAAAACAAATAGAATACCATAGGTCTTGGCTGGGCATGGTGGTGCATACTCAGAAAGCAGAGGCAGGAGGATGGATGTCTGGCAGCTAGAGTTTCAGGCAGTTGTGAGCTGGCTCATTTGAGTGCTGGGAATCAAACTGGGGTCCCTTGGAAGAGCAGGAAGTGCTCTTAATCACGGAGCCATCTCTCTGGTTGATGAATTTTTAGTTTTTGAGATTGGGTTTTATGTACCCTATACTGACTTTGTAATATGATAATGTAGCAGAGACTAAATCTGAACTCTGGTACTTGCCATTATCTCCATGACAACATTCCCACCAGGAATACAGGTGTGAGCTACAAGCCCAACTCTATTTATTTATTTATTTATTTATTTAAGAGAGCTTTAGAGCTAAGGGTATATATAGCTCAGCAGTCGGTTTTGTTTGTTAGTTTTGTTTTTTGTTTCCATGATTGACACCTAGAGTTTGAGCCCTAGCATACCAAAAATAAATTAAATCAGCTGGTTGGGCAGTACATGCCAACCAACTAGAGGAGAAATAGGGGAGGGGTTGAAGCTGGAGAATTTCCAAAAGCTCAAGGCCAGGCTGGACTACAGTCTGTTCCAGGGCAGCCAGGACTGGAGATAGAGAGGCTCTCTCAAACAAAACAACAAAGTAAGAACCTATCATCCTACACAGAGAAACCTTGCCTTGAAAAAACTAAAAAGAACCTATCATCATCAACAACAACCTTTTGAGAGAGGGTCTCACTCCATAGTGCAGGATGGCCTGGAACTCACTGTATAGCTCAAGATAGCCTTCAGCTCTCAGCAAGTCTCCTGCCTTAGCCTCCTGAGTGCTGGGGTTACAGTTAGCACAAACTACTGTGGCCAGCAATCATTATAGTATAGACAAATTTCAAATTTTACATGGGACATGCCTAAAAATGATTTACTTAGGGGATGCAACTCAAAGGCTGAATTGGTAACTCTACGATGAGATTTAATATTTCCTGTGTTCTCCGTTCCACCTTACCTTTCTGGTGTGGGTGGTGGAGGGGGAGGGGTCAATAGCTGAGGCTGGACTCGGGAGGCTTCTTTTTTCTTAAATAATTGTTTGGCTTTGGCTCTTAGCTTTCTTCTTCGTTGTTTGAACTTGGGCATGATTTCTGTAGAGAAAAAAAATTGAAGTGAAAAAAAGTTATGTACGAGTGTTTTGCCTGCCTGCCTGTGTCTGTCTTTATACCATCTGCATGCCTGCTACCTTCAGGGGCCAGAAGAGGGCATCATATCCCCTGGGAACTGGAGTTGCAGATGGTGGTGATCTGCCATGTGGAAGAAGAGCAGCTAGTGCTCTTAACTTTGAGCCATTTCTCCAGTACCTGAAATATATATTTTATTAAAGAATAATGTACACATATAGAAAATGTATAAGCCTTCAGGGCATAGTTCTATGCTTTATGATATAGGACCATTATATACCCTCATATACATCATCTTGGTTATTTTTGGTTTATGCCAATTTTTACCTTCTTCTCCAACCTTGAGTAAGAAATAAATTGTAGCTGTGGGCATGCTGGTTCGAACCTCTAAAACCAGTATTGGGGGATGGGATTTGAGGCGGAAAGATGGCTGTGAATTGGCGAACACCTCAAAGTGATTCTGTCTCCGAAACACCTAAAAATCTGGGTACAGTGTACACACCCACAATCTCACCACTTGGAAATTGAAGGCAGGTATATCAGGATTCAAGGATAGCTTCAGCTATCGAGTAAGTTCAAGGCCAGCCTGGGTACCTGAGACTCTTGTCTCAAAACAACAAAACAAAACAAAAACCAGAGAGAAAAAAGGTTATCAGCATTCTGGGAAGAAAATGTAAACTCAGATTTAAAGTGTCTCTGGAGAATCTTCCCTGTAATTTACACTAGTCTCTCACTCAGCTTTTGTTGTATTCACTGATGAAATCAAATGAATTCTTTTTTATTCTCTGCAATCTCCTCCTCCCCCGCCGGAGACCAAACCCAAGGCTTTGCCCTTGTCTAGGCAAGTGCTCTGCTACTGAGCTATGCCCCCTCCTTTTTATTTTTTATTATTTATTTATTTTTTGGTTTTTCGAGACAGGGTTTTGGAGCCTGACCTGGAACTAGCTCTTGTAGACCAGGCTGGTCTCGAACTCACAGAGGCCCCTTCCTTTTTAAAAAGTCATTTTGAAACAAGATCATATGTATCCCGGGCTGATCTTTGAACCCCTATAAACTAAGAATGACCCCTACCTCTGCCTAGACTGCTGACATTACCTCGAGATTGGCAGTCACATTGGGGTTATATAGTGCTGGAGATCCAAACCGAAGCTTCCTGTACGCTAGGAAAACACTTTACCAACTGGCTACAGTACTTAGCCATTCCTTTCCTTATAGTGGGAAAATGGCTGTAGTGGATTATAGTTTGATATTAAAAAGACAGGCTTGCCGGGCGGTGGTGGCGCACGCCTTTAATCCCAGCACTCGGGAGGCAGAGGCAGGCGGATCTCTGTGAGTTCGAGGCCAGCCTGGTCTACAAGAGCTAGTTCCAGGACAGGAACCAAAAGCTACGGAGAAACCCTGTCTCGAAAAATCAAAAAAAAAAAAAAAAAAAGACAGGCTTGCAATTCAGCAAGATAGAATGAACATCTATTATGATAGGCAGATGTCATAGTGGGAGGAATCATTTACAAAATGCCCCCTTAAATATGGGGTACATTCCCCCTTTCCTCTGTCAATCTTCAATCTCCTCAACTGACAAGGAGCATTTTAGTCTTAGTTTTATACAAAAATAAGCTGAGGGTTAGATGAGATATCCACCTAATGTAATACAATAAAGTATAAAAACATAGACCTGTAAGTCTTCAGAGACCATGAATTTTCTTAATAGACCATGGGACAAGAGTCACTTAAACAGGCTATATACAATTATCCAAAATCAAAGACCTGTTTTAAGACAGTTATTTTGAAGCACTAAAGATATTACTTAATATACTTATGTTTTAACATATACCCTTTTCTGGATATATAAAATATTCTGGCCGGGTGGTGGTGGCGCACGCCTTTAATCCTAGCACTTGGGAGGCAAAGGCAGGTGGATCTTTGTGAGTTGGAGGCCAGGCTGGTCTACAAGAGCTAGTTCCAGGACAGGCTCCAAAGCTACAGAGAAACCCTGACTTGAAAAACAAAACAAAACAAAAATTCTGGGTTCCTTTGATCTGAAACTCCAAAAGGTTTTGCTAGTTTTAGCTGTTGATTCCCAAGGAACAAAGATATTACTACTCTAGTAGCAGACATGAAAATGGCTTGCTTCCGATTTAGATATGAATACGAAAAGTCAGTGAAACACACATTGAAGGCCCTGAGTGGTGGTGCACAGCCTCAAAATCAACACTTGCAAAGCAGAGGTAGATGGATCTATGTGAATTCAAGGCCGAACTGGGCTAATAGCTTCTTCCAAGCAGGTCACGGCCATCTAGTGGGACCCTGTGTCTGATAAGTTAACAGTCATTCTTCTACTTCTGTTCACTTGGTCCCTTTTTGGAAATAGGTATTCGCATATAATTCCTCAGCACCTGAGGACACCTCTCCACTTCCTCTACAGGTTGGAAAAAGTGGGAAGCGCCTTGGTATCAGCAGTGTAATCCTGGCAGCTAACCTTCAGGTCAAAAGGTAACAGTGAAGTGAAAGCATCTTATTGGTTAATGGTCAATTAAATTTATAAGATTCAAATTTTTTTGAGACAGAGTCTTGTTATATAGCACAAGATGGTCTGGAATGCAAGTTCCTCCTGCCTCAGCTACTAAATGCTAGGATTATAGGCACACAAGGCATACAAAATCATGACTGGCCTTAAACTAGATGTAGCCCAGGATGCCCTTAAATGCCCTATCTTTCTGCCTTCATCTTCTAAGTGTTAGGGTTACAGTTGTGTGATTTCTCACCTTCCTACATTTTATTCATCTATTTCTTCAGCCTTACAACATAGCAACAAGCTTTTTTTCTTTTATTTTTTTTCAAGACAAGGTTTCTCTATATAACAGTCCTCACTGTCCTAGAACTTGTTTTGTAGACCAGGCTGGCCTCGAACTCACTGAGAACCACCTGCCTCTGCCTCCCAAGTGCTGGGATTAAAGGCGTGCGCCACCACTGCCCGACCCCATTACATGTTTTATCCAGTAAAGGAATGAAAGATACCATCACTTTCCAGCAGCAGTCAGCAACGATTCTCTTTTCACTTAAGCAATATCCTCTAAGTCTAATACTTTTAGGATGGGTGTGTGTTGGGCGAGGGTGTTAGTTTATTCAAACCAGATCATATCTTTACAGTTAAAGGGTGGATCAAAAACTTCCAAGTATGAAGTTCAACAAATAGCAGAATGAGCATTGGCTCATTGGCTGATCTAGCTCAGTTGGAAGAGTGCTGACCTCACATACAAGACCCTGAGTTTAATCTCCAGTGCCACATCAATTATCGCGTTGGCACACAGGCCTGTAATCCCAGAACCCTGGAGCTGGAAGCAGGGGGATTCAGAGTTCGAGGTCATCCTTTGCTTCAGCCAATTCCTTGCCAACCTGGGTTACACAAGCCCATCTCAGAATAATAATTAGTCTTCTCATAAGTTGACACTGCTGCTTCTTTTAAAACTCCATCAGGTACATGAAAAGTTCTTTGGCTGGGAACACTTCTAAAGCCGCGGCAGCAGCGGAAATGACAGTTGCCATTTCATCACCAACGTTCTAAAACACATTTTCACGCCCACAGAAATTGCCCGTTGTCAATTTAATTCCACTATCAACTCAGTTGGTTCAGCCTGATTACTGTGACATGATTACTGCCATTTTCCTATAGTTAGTCAATTTTGTTTTATTGTGAAGTATTGTTTCCCCCCCGGTTCTTTTCTGTGTCTCTCTCGGAGTGACCACAGGTCTTTAGTGTCACCCAGCACAGTACTAGCAGGTAGTAAAAGGGTGCACTTTTACATCGATGTTGGAAGTAACTCTGCCTCAAGGAACATTGTAAAACTACCCGTCAAAAAACATTCCTCCACAAACTTAAATGTGCTGAAGAATCGCGGGGGACAGCATCTGGTTAAATACATATTCTTATCCAGTAAGATTGGATGCACCCCTATAATTTGCATTTGTCACTAGCGACCAAAGAAGCTAAAACCGCTAGTCTGTGGACCCACTTTGAGAGGCAGAGTAACGAAGAAGACTGAGCAAAAGGCATATCGCTTCAAAACATATATTGCAAGAGTGTTTAATAAAAATATGGCTTGGATGTTGCCAGCGGAGCTCTTGTCCTGCCCCAAATCTTCCCATTTCTACTCCATCTCCCTCAAGCCCAGCCCAAGACCCGAGACCTCCTTCAGCCATTAAGAACCCAACCATCAACAGTTCGAGTAACGGTAGATGGGACCAGGTAACAAAGAAAGAATCGTCCCTGCACTTACTAGTCTAAAAGTCTGAGGACTAGACGAAGTTCGGGTCGGAGCCTCTTCCACACCATAAAGAAGAATTCAAAATTAAATCCTTGCCGAGGAGTGACCAATCGTAGACGTGGTTTCTACACGGTTCGTTGTCCTGAAAGGACCCAAGTACAGCCTGGATTACGATTGGCTGAGGGCGCATCACATCCTGGCCAATCGGAATTGAGGCGCTTCTTGTATGAATAAGGGAAGGCGGGCGAGAAGGGGCGGGGAAGCCGAAGAGAAAAGAAGGTGTGTCACATCGCCTAGGCCGGCAGCGGAAGCTCTTATGGCATTGGCTGCTGCTGCTTCCGAGTACACCAATCGTAAACTCTTTCCCAAGTATGAAATTGAAAGTGGAGAACCGAAGGCAGCCAATAGGAATAATCACATATTCAGCAGCCAATCCTATTACGGCGTTTTGTGTTTTTGCCCAACAGGAAAGTGTGTTTCATAAGGGGGGCGTTACCCAATCGCCAATGGGCGGGCGCCGGCGGAACGGACCAGCCAATGAGCGCGAGACGTTGAGTGACAGCTGTCCAATAGAGACCCTCCGTGCTAGCACGACTCGCCGCTTAAGCGCCTCCGCGGTCTCAGGAATGTCAACTATTCAACATGGAGGCGGAGGTCGATAAGCTGGAACTGATGGTGAGTGGAGAGCGAAGGAAATCGATTGGGTAATTGGTTTTTCCCCACCGAAGGCCTAGAAGGCCAGGCGCCATTTGGAGGCGCTGGAAACCCTGGGTGGCGGAGGCTGGAATCTGAATCGACTTCCCTCCTGCATCGAAGGGAGCCACCGCCGCCTTGGTCTCTTAACCGCCGCGGGGGAAGGGGTTACATCCGGGGAACTCGGGAGGGAAATGGCGGGAGATGTTGAGGGTGTGGGCCTTTGTAATTCCCTGCTCCTCGCCTTCACCTCCACCGGCTCCCGGGGCCGCGCCCGGTACAGACGCCGTCTCTGGTTTCCACCTCTGTGCCCCAATGTGACCGGAATGGTCTTTAGGAGCCAGGAGGAGGAGAGAGGTCGTTCACGTTTCCCGAGCAGAGGGATGGAGGATGAAGCGGGGCGTGAGTCCAGGGGCGCCGAAATTCGGGCTCCACGGCGCACCTCGTCGCAGGCGAGCTGGGACGCTCGGAAAGAGGACGCTAGGCTCGCTCGAGAAACTTAGCCGCGGTCCAGTCGAGCCGGCTCGGAGCGGCTCGGAGGTGGCATGGGAGAGGAGCGAGCCGCGGGCACCGAGCCTGGAGCTCTTTCCAGGAGCGCGTGCGGCATCGCGCCAGGCCAGGCCGCTGCTTTCAGCTGCCCCCTCTCTCCTCTGTGCAAGTAGCGCCAGGGAAGAAGGACCTCGGTGGCCGCTGGCGTGTCCGGCCGTGCACTGGGCGCCCAGCCCCGGGGCCTTCTAGTTGTCTCTGGGAGGGTTTCCCTAGTACTCGGTCCCTTTATTCTCGCCCTCCTGTCTTTGCCCTGGCCGCTTGGTCGCCGCGCCTTTTTTCTTAGTTCCCTTATTCTGTCTTCAGCCTTCTTTTGCCTGGTCACTCCCCCCCCCCCCCGATTGGAATAGCTCCCTTAAAAATATAGAATGTGAAGGAATCATTGAGGTTCCCCCCTTAAATAACAACATTAATATTAAAAAGTAAAATGCTTCTTTCTTCGCCCATAATCTGTCCTTCCCCTCTCCAAGGAATATCTTGAGTCTGTTACTCCTGCCGTGGAAAGGACTTTAGGGTGATCCTGGAAGATAGCGAGCATCACCCCCCTCCCCATTCCCACTCCAGAAAGTGTGACGCCTCAGTTTCTTTTCTTTTTCATTAATGAATTCAGGTGTTTCACATACGTTTTATTAGAGGGCTTTTGTTGCTTTTAATATTGTATTTTAAACTTTCTTTGTGGAGAGTGTGGGGAAGGGGGAACGGGGAGAATTTTTTGCAGCTTTCCAAATCTTCATAAATGAAATGAATATTTGACTTCAAGGGTTTTGTGTGTGTGTGTGTGTGCGCGCGCGCGCGTGCTATTAACGTATTAAACACACACCCAGAATGTTAATATTGTGGTTAGAGTTTGTCAATAGGCATGTACTCTCTCTCCTGCATTATGGATTCCTTCCTTTGGAGTAGGTGGAGATAGTTTGCCTTGTTAGAGGCTAATTCTTTTTTTTTCAACAGGTTATTGTCTAGTTGGTGGAGCTTTAGCCTTTCCAGTACAATCAATACTCAGACTTTTAAAAAATATTGAGCAGGTGATCTTAAGGAAAACACAAGTAAACATCCTGCAAAAAGTAAGTTTTAGGAAGTTATGAGATTGCTGAACTTTAACATTTTTAGATATTGTATCAATTATGGTGTAGCTTTAAAATTTCTTTATGAAGAGGATGAAAGGCACACAGCTTTTCCTTTTGTGACATTTCCTGAAATATATTCATGGTAGCATTTTAATTTTCCAAGTTACTTTTTTTCTTTATCAGGGCTTAAAAAACACATTCAATTTTTTTATCATGATTTTCAATATTAACTTTAGCTTTTTATTGATTAAATAGCAAAAGACATCTCATCTTCAAATGAACCAAATTCCTAAAAGAAAAAAGACGTATCTGTTGAAGTTATCATTTCCAAACTGAAGATAAGTGATGTAAAAGTCTTAACATCTTTAAAAGGTTTGCTAAGGAGCCTTTGGGTGTGTGAAAGGAGTGTACAATATTGTAAAGGTGATAGTTACTCTATCTCTGTAAAAAAAAGTTTTCTCTGTATTTTTCTTTTGTTAACATCTAATTTAGAAAATTAAGTTTATTTTTTAAACACTTGTCTTTAAAACCTAGTGCTTGGTTAGCAGAGTTAAATATTCCCAAATTTGAGTTTTGTGGCCCAGCATCTGAGGATAAGTTCCAGCTCTTTTGAGTCCATTTTTTAGTAGGTTTAATCTGTCTAAGAAACTGAACTGGACCATTTAAAGGAAGGTCAATGAAAATAATGGGAATGTATTTTTGCATCAATCAACATTACTAATGGTGGAATAAACTCATTGTAGAATAATCTTTGTCCCTGACATTTTCCCTTTGCCTGCTGATTGAGTGGTACTCCTGCCCTCCCTTTGTGATACTCTAGGGATTGTTCACAAAAGGTAGTGTAATATGATACTTGGGTTCTGTTTCTTGGTTTACATTTGACTTTCAAGGAAACTTTTTTATCCCTCTCACTGTTTTCTTGATATTTCTAAGTTTGAAGGAAATGGATTTGCTTTTCTTCACTTCATAGGATATTTTAAGAGTTAAACTGAAATATTAAAAATACTTTTGCCTAGTATTAGGTTAGGTTGGGTTAATGTCCAGTTAAGAATATATCAGTTCCCTGATAATCTCTCTTTTTTTGTATTAGCCCTCAATAAATTCTCGAGGCACAAGATTTGTGTTGTGTGTTTGCACGTGTATTAGATTCCATAGAGGTAAATTAGGTATATAGTCATTTGTTTTCTTTTTTAAAAAATATTTATTTATTTATTATATATACAATATTCTGTCTGTGTGTATGCCTGCAGGCCAGAAGAGGGCACCAGACCCCATTATATATGGTTGTGAGCCACCATGTGGTTGCTGGGAATTGAACTCAGGACCTTTTGAATAGCAGGCAGTGCTCTTAACTGCTGAGCCATCTCTCCAGCCTCTTGTTTTCTTATTTTTTAAGTTTTATTTTATGAATATGAGTGTTTTGCATGCATGTATGTATGTCTGTGCACCACATGTGTACCTGGTGCCCAAGGAGATCAGAAGAGGGAATTGGATCTCTGGCAACTGTTGCAGATGATTTTGAGCCACCAAGTGGGTGCTAGGAATCGAACCCAGGACCTGTGCAAGAACAAGTGCTCATAACCACCGAATCATTTGCATTTGTTTTCTCCAGTCCTTTGCATTTGTTTTCTTTGAATTACTCAAATGACTTGCTTTCAATGGTAGGTAACCAATTGCTTTGGAAAAGGAGTGAGGCAACATTACTTTTCAGCAGAGAACAGAAATATTTTTTCATACATTTGCCTCAATAGCATATCTTGTTGATATCAGTCCTAAAGTATTACTGATGCCCAGGACATCTTATAAAATTCCTTTACATCTGTGTGTGTTTATGTTTGAATGCTGCTACTTACCAAGTTAGTTATCAGAAACCAATTATTACTTGGGTTTTAAGTCTTTTGCTCTTCAAAAAATAAACCTTGGTATAAATGTTTTTAGGTTTTGGATGTCTTCTGACCAAAACTGGCAACTCAGCTTTAAGGTCTTTGCATACTGGAGCTTACACTCCTTTCCTGCTCACTACTGCTGGCGAATGCTCTGACTTTATTGCACTACTGTACTTTACAGCTAGCAGTGCAATAGTATTGTCAAAGCATCCGAAAGCAGCTCACACCTTTCGTGCCTCTTGTCTTACTTCTTTAGTATTGCGAAAATTTTCCTATAGCTTCCAGTGCTGAAAACTATAATTTTGTGACCATGTATATTTTTAAAAAGTCATCATTTGAAGAAGAAAAACCTTAATATTAAAAATGCATTGCTGTATCGCACTGAAAATTAATGTATATGTAAAGTCATGGCTTCTAAAAATAGTACTTTGTAATTTGTTTCTTTTTGTAATAGACTTGGATAGCAACTCTTAGGTCTCATTAGATTGTAAGTGACGAACAGTTTCATGTCTGCCTGCTATGGTAACTTGCTAAGTCTTAGTGTTAATTTTGGTATTACATAGGAAATGCTTGGATTTAAAACTCAGGAAGGGGACTAGAGAGATGGTTCAGCAGTAAGAACACTACAAGGACCTGCGTTCCCTTCCCAGTACCCACATCTAGTAGCTTACAGCCATTTACAACTCCAGCTCCAGGGGCTTCCATGCCATTTTCTGGCCTCTGCTGTCACATATTGATACATAAACACAATAATAAAATCTTTAAAACTTAGAAATGCTTGATTATTGTCATTATAAAACTCATCATTTTTGGTAATGCTTAATGCATATTTTACATAAGTAAAACTCAATTTTAAGTGTACACTTTAAAGAGCTTTGGCAAATGTATATAATCATGTTACTACCTCCACTGCTAAAATAAAATATTTCCATCATATTGTAAAGTTCCTTT